AGAAAAACTGCATCCTGCAGGGAAGCGCCTTAAAACAGAAAGTGAACAACTCAAAATAACTCTGGGACATTCCTAAAACTGATCATGTTTGCTAGGAACCTCCTAATGCAAGAAATCCATGGAATCTATTTAAAGGGTTGTGGTGACATTGTGGTCCCCAAAATATCGTGTACTCTAATAAACTTATCTGGGGTCAGAGAACGGAACAGCCTCTAGATAGACATAGAGGCCAGAAAATGGTGGCACTCACACCTTTAATCCTAGCATTCCAGAGGCAGAGGTCTGTCTGGATCTCTGTGAGTTCAAAGCCACACTGGAAACAGCCAGGCATGTTGACTTATGTCTTTAATCCCAGGAAGTGAGCCTTTAATCCCAGGAAGTGATGGCAGGAAGCAGAAAGGTATTTAAGGCATGAAGACAAGGAACTAGAGCCTGGTTAAGCTTTTAGGCTTTTAGCAGCAGTGCAGCTGAGATCCATTTGGATGAGGAAACAGGAGTTTTCAGTCTGAGGAAACAGGATCAGCTGAGGAATTGGCAAGGTGAGGTGGCTGTGGCTTGTTCTGCTTCTCTGATCTTCCAGCGTTCACCCCAATATCTGGCTTTGGGTTTGTTCTTATTAATAAGACCATTTAAGATTCGTGTTACAAAGGGTGATGGAATTTATTAGGGAAGAAAACTCGCTGAAGCATGGGAGATTTATCCTAGGGTCCTGGAAAGCTGAGTTATAGTCCCATGCTATATTCTTCCGCCTGGTCCGTCTCAGCCCACAAACCCATGAGGGAGAGAAAACAGCAGCATATGTGCATCTCAGGTCTTAAGGATAGCCAAGAGGCCATGCCCCAGGGTCATAGGCAGGTAGAGCAGTTACCTGCTATGTCTCTAGGGCTGTACTTCAGGATCATGGAACAGATATTCACTACAACCACCCTCCCAAGAGTAAACAATAGAGATAAATGAGAGTCATTCTCACGCAAGTCAAGCTATAAAAAGAAGCAGGCACCAGCCAAGTCTCCAGGAAGAGGGGTAGATAGCTGAGCCACCTGGTAGGAACACTCTCCAACCTAATGATTGCCTGTAGTTTTGCAATGTGATCCAGGTTTCCAATTCGGTGAGATGTCACTATTGCTAGAGTGAGCTTTGTTGATACAACTGTCTTTGAGCCATTTCTGCTCTTGTAAGCAACCCCTCATCCATGGTCTTAGTTAAGGTTTCTAATGCTGTGAAGAGACATCATGACCATGGCAAATCTCATAAAAGAAAATATTTAATTGGGGCTAGCTTACAGTTTAGTGGTTTAGTCCATTATCATCATGGAGAGTGACATGCAGGCAGACGTGATGCTGGCAAAGGAGACGGGAGTTCTACATCTTGACCCACAGGCAGCAGAAGCACCCAAGTGGCACACTATGAGAAGCATAGATCTCAAAGCCCACCACACAGTGACACACTTTGTCCAAGAAGGCCACACCTCCTAATAGTGCCACTCCCTTTAGGGGCCATTTTCTTTAAAACCACCACATTCATATTCCTATAAATAATCCCAATAAAACTCACTTGTTCACGAAGTTGAACTTTGTTGGTATCTATATTTTGGTCTGTTATGGGCTCCCTGTCTGGGGGTGAGTCAATGAGTGTGTTGTATTTCCCCAGGAAAAGTTATATGACTGGGAACATATCAAGTAACTAATCGAGAAAATTGGTACTGTTGCTGTGACCACGTTCATAGGGCTTTTGAAATGGCTTGTGAGTTGAATGTGAAAGAATTCGGAAGTATGGACTAGAAGAGCCCTTGAGTATAGCTTAGTGGATATTCTGGTGAAAGGTCATAAGACTAGAATACCAAGAGAACTGCAAACAGTGGAAGCCCACCTCAGGAGGTTTCACAAGAAACAGATTCTATCAGGAACTGAGCTAAGAGCCATTTATGTAATATTCTGGCAAAAAATCTGGCTGCCTTTTGCCTTTGCCTTGAGCACTTGATTGGAGAAAAATTACAGGCAAGGGACTAATCATTTGATAATGTCATGGCTATTGCTCAACATTTCCAGCTAAATCTCCAGCAGGAGAGCAAAAAGATAAGAAAAATGTGAATTTTGGAGTGGAAAGTTGTATGAGCTGGTTTAAAAGAGAGTGCAGATGACAAAACATCTGTCGTACTGAGGAGTTCAGCATCACGGAAAAGAAAGCCTGTGTCTGCAACGGAGCCATAGTAAAGGTCCCTGAGGGCCAGACCTTACCCAAGAAAGGTCCATATTATAAAGGAGAGAGAGCCTAAACTGAAACTATGACTTGAAGGAGTTCCCTGTTCATAAGCAACCACCTAAGGAAGTATTGTTGCTCATTGTTGGTGCACAGAAGCCCACACAGCTATGGCCTTAGGGATCCATGATCCAACCAGAGCTGGTAGTAGCACTTAGCATTGTCATCCACATTGTATGGATTCTACGGGCATGAAAGATGTAGGATTGAGATTGAGTCCAGTCCTGAATAGAAAAAAAGAAAGGAAGCTAAGTAGAAGCATTTACCTTTGTCTGCTTCCTAATAGTGGATGCAATAGAACCAGACCCATCCTGCTCCCGGTGCTACATCTACTCCGTCATGTTGGAATGTATACTCAGAAACTGTTAGCCAATAAACCCTTCTTTCCTTAACTCGCTTTTGTAAGTCACTTTGTCATGGTAACAGATAACTAATATACAGCATCACAATGAAAAGAGATGGTGATAAAATACAACCCTAACAGTAGAGGAAATTAATAACATGACTACTATGAAAGTAATCCAAATGTATTTTCATAGACCAGGAGCTTGAGAAACCTTTCAATGAGCCTTATGACAGACTGAGGGTTTCCTGGAAGTGGAAACCCAAGGAGAGTTTTTCTTTGTTGTTGTTATTATTATTATTTATTATGTGACTAGGTCTTGCTATGCAGCCAAAACTGGCCTTGAATTCATGGAAATCCTCCTTCTTCAGAATCCCTGGTGTTGGGATTAGAGGCTTGAGTAATTGCTTATCTGGGCAATAATGAAATGGCACAGTTTTAAAGACATGATGCATAAAGGAGTCAGTGTCAAGGAAACAACATTGTCAGTACAAATGTTTAAAACCAAAGGAATATGTAATATTCATATGTTTTGTTTAGAGAAAAAAAGGACAAAACCAAAATGGTTCTGCTCTTTGTTTAACCCTGTGACCTATAACAGTTGGTATAGTCCTGGCTCAAACATTAGGGGAGTAACCAGCCACCGTTTGATTGGATTTAAGGACCGCTCCATGAGATAGAACCCATACCTGACACTGCTAAAGGTGCCTAGAACCTACAACTACATAAAGCATGGGCTTAGGGAAACACCCACTACTCTTATTCTGCTAAAGGACATAACAATAAAATGACTCCTAATGATAAATTGCTATACTCACAGATCAGTGCTTTGCTCAGTCATCAGAGCAGCTGCATCTTGCAGTCGATAGTAATAACACAAGGACCCACAACTGAACAATGCACAGAGGGTGACTCTGGAGCATTCAGCCCTACATGGGATGACATTATTAAACCCCTCTCTTCAAGGTTTCCAGGAATCTATGTGGAGGTGGTGGCACAAATATTGTAAGGGGTAGTAGATGACTCCAAGGCAACAATGTGTTCCAGACACAATAGGACTAATGCGCAAATGAACTAACAAGACTGTGGCAGCCATGTTTATGCCCCATGAAATCGCAACACTGTAAAGCGGAAGTGGGTGCAAAGTCCCACCCCTAATCAAGAAACCATATGCAATTGCTAGCTGGTGGCAGATGGAAACTCAGTTTGCACCAATGGAGTGTCACTGGGTATATCAACCACACTGCAGTGCAGGCCACATGCCCAGGAGTACTTGGTCAGCACCAAACAAACTCCATGCCCCCCTGCCCTGCCCCGGGCTTTTTGTTGTGTTTTAGTATTTTTTCCTTACTATTTTTTGTTCCTTTGTTTGAGTATTTTGTTTGGTTGCTTTGTTTCTTGAGAAACACAGAGAGAAAGCATAAAGTTGGTGTGGAAGGTGGTGAGGAGGGGAGAGTAGGGAGAAGTTGGGGTATAATCAAAAATATATTATATAACTTTTTTTTCAATACAAACTTAAAAAGAAACCGGTCGTGGTGGCCCATGCCTTTAATCCCAGAACTTGGGAGGCAGAGGCAGGTGGATCTCTGTGAGTTCGAGGCCACCTGGTCTACAAATCAAGTTCCAGGACATCTAAGACTTAACGGAGAGATTCTCGAAAAGCAAAAAAGAAAGTAATAAAGTAAGGAAAAAAAACAGAATCCTAGTTCTAAGTGATTTGGGTATTAGTTTTCTCTAAAGCCGAGGAGTCACGGAATGACAAAAATTGTTTCAATTTAGGTATATGGAAGATCAATGTGACAATTCCAATTTCCGTAAAATTAGAGAAAGGTCTTATGGTCCTTTCTTCTTTAATTTTTAAAAAGTAAAGTTGTGTATAGGCAAAGTTATCATGTGTCTGGAATTAAGAGAAAATAAATACAATGCCAATAACTTTGGCCAGTTTGGAACTTATCCTTATCCACCTTTTCCCCTTTTGTCAGGGAGTTAGCACTCCATAGGCAGGCAGGCAGCATCCGTATTCAGGGTTCAGAAAAGGAGAAATTGCCTAACAGGCCTTTAAGATCTGGGCAGAGTGCCCCTAGTTTCTGCTAAGTCTCCAAAAGTCCCGAGGCCGAACAGAGAGACCGTCCAGCTGCTGCAGATGAAAGCCTGGGAGCCAAGCTGTGTCTTTGCTCCACCATAGGTGGAGCCGACCGGTTGGGAGGTGCCAAGTGGCACTCAGTAGCTCGGGGCAGCAATCTGGCGGCTGCAGCTGGAGGCAAGCGCCTCTCTCTGCCTGTGCCCCGCCTCATCCGGACATCCCCGCCCGCGGCAGGTGGGCAGGTGGCAGAACCGGCCCGACCTGCTCCTCTGGCCGAGCCCTGGAGCCCGGAGCCCGGCGGTGGCCAGCAGCGCCATGGAGGCGGACGCGGACCCCGAGGAGCTGGCCCGGCTGCGCTCGGTCTTCGCCGCCTACGACACGAAGGGCTCCGGGCGCCTGGAGCGTGCCGAGTTCGGCGCGCTGTGCGCCGAGCTGCACGTGGCTGAGGCCGAAGCGGAGGCGGTGTTCCTGGGGCTCGACACCGACCGCGATGGTGCCATCACCTTCCCGGAGTTCGCGCGCGGCTTCCGCGGAGCGTTCGGCCGGGACAGTGCCGAGTCCCAGGGCTTCTGGGACGCGGCAGAACCCGAGAGCCCGGGTCCGGCTTGGCGGGACTTCCACGAGCGCCTAGGAGACGAGGCCCGACTCATTCCCAGGTACGTGGTCCTGCGAGCGCTGGAGGCGGGCTCTATGCAATTGGGATACCCAATCTGTGAGTTGCTTTTTCTGTTCAACAACTGGTGGTGACTTTTCCGAAAAGGAAAAGAGATCTGGTGTTACTGGTAGGGAAGAAGTTCCCTGAGTGAGGTTTGAGCACTTCCTGAAAGGACCCTGGTGACTGACACCTGTAGCCTCCCTCTGAAGCGGCCAAGGCTGGCACACTCTTGGTGGCTCACCTGGCCTGACGGGTCACCCTACTGCTGCTTCCCAGCTGCACTCAGAGGCTAGCCTAGGCAGTTTGCCAGCTTGGCATACTAGACAAAAGTTGTGCATTTGTTGTTTGCTAAGGCCGAAAACGAAGCTGCAGTACCACTGGATACACATTCTCATTGATGTGCACTACATCACTCGTTTTATTTTAAGGATACCTTGGGAAGTAGGTTTATCTGTTTCTGACTGAACAAGAAAGAAACCTAGAAATTTAAATTCAGGAGCCTCAAGGGCCTTGCCGAGTTAATTAAAGTCAGAAAATTGATCCCAGGACTTCTCTGCTGAAAATTGTTTTTATTCAGTAAGTAAAATGAGACAGTCACACCATATATTCTCTGACTTTAATAAGAATAACTGATTTTCAAGTTATTAACTTTATTCTCAACGAGGGGAGGACTACAGGGCGATTTTAGGATCAGACCTTCACTCTCCTCTCGCTGTGTTTCTGCTTTTCTCTGGAAGTTTTTCTGCGTTGTGTTTATAATTTAGCTGCAGTCTTACTGAGCACTGGATGCTGTTAAGACCTGAAAGGCTGCATTTTAAGTGTCAGTTTCTGTATCTAAGACTTAGGTCTCAGAGAAAGGAGGCGTCGTGCTCCTTCAGATTGCTCCACAACACATGCTTTGTCATCCCAGTTTCTCTGGTTGATAAGGGAATTTTGTGCAGGGAGGCTGAGTGACTCACTGTGACATTATTTGAGAAACTGGGTGTGAGGGCTAATCCCTTGCATACACGTGGGGGAAAAACAAACTCCACAGTGTCTCACCCGGGGAAGGAGAAAAAAGAAAAACACTGTTGCTGCAGACTATGGCTTTTCTTTTAGCTGTCTTTCCAGCACATCTGGTTGTTTATTTATTTATTTTTATTAACGATTTAAGAACGAAGTAGGGAGAGATACTGTCTGTGTGTAGGTATGATCATGTTCCCCTTTTCCTGATTAGATTTCATCAGCAGACATATGACACTTAACCTCTCAATGATTATATTGACTTTTCTACAGTCAGTTGACAAACCAGGACTTAACTTAACTGGTGGATGATTATCATCATCCTTTCCAAAGGCTGTCAAAGGTCACTAAAGGTATCAGTGTCACCTGACAGACTTCTGTCCTAAGCCCTTCTTATGGAAAGTTAACAAGTACAATGTTTGCCTTTCTGTGCTGTTCACGGGAAAAAGAACCAAACTGAGTTGAGCCACCTGATTGTTGCCATGGCAGCAATAAACTGTTTTGGTAAGTTGGAGTGCTGGCACTCAACTTCCTCATACAGTGGTTCACTTTTTTCCTTTCTTCCATCTATTCTTGATTGAAAAACACAACAAAACAAAAACCTCACAGCTTTTTGTTATTGAAATTCTGCTGGATTAATATGGGCAAATTCATGCTACAAATGCTTTTGGGTGCCCCATAGATGCCAATGCTACCTTCGGCATTGTTTCACACCCCTGGAGAAAAAGAAAAGGAAGGATAACAAGTTCATATAGATATTTCTTTAAATTATTCAATGTCTTAAATATTTCTTTAAATAGTATGTAAAGACCGCTGGGCTATTTGCAGGAAACACAAATTGTTGACTGCTGTATCTGAGAATTTTCTTTGTTTTCTTTAGGATTAAAAAAATGATTTATTTTATTTTTAGTTATTTGTATCTGTCTGTGGGTATGTGCAGGTCTCCTCAGAGACTTGAGGTGTGTTAGAGATAGTTGTAAGCTGCCTGATGTGGGTGCTGGGAACCAAATTCAGTTCTTCTGGAAGAGCAGCCAGTGCTCTTATCTGCTGAGCCATCTCTCCAGCCCCAAAGTCTTGAATTTTCTAATCTTTAAGAAAAATGGTACTTGTTCATTTTACTATGTGACATATTGGAGTTGATTTGATATAAAATACTGTTTTCTTCTGCAGGAATAATGAACCCTCCAGGAAGATGTGGCATTCTAGCTTGTTCCCAAAATAATACTCTGTCTTATTTGATGGTGTACGCCCCCATGCCTGTCTTATAACAAAAATACACTAGATACAAGAATGTCCTTCCTATAGAGGTAAAACATGGTAGTACTGACTACTTTTACATTTCAGCAAATGCTTACTGATTTTACATTTACAAATGTTTTACATTCAGGCAAAATATTAAGTCATTTTTGGTTTAAACTCCACAATCCACAATAATTTTGAGGTTAGAAAAGAAATTAAATTGTACTGTTAAGGAATGTAAATGGCCTTTGTGATGTGGGTTAATACATGCATGAGTTTGTTTCCTCTTAGGAAACTGAGGAACTGTTTCCCTTACGCTCTGGAAGTTTGTGACCTGTAACCTTGCATCTGGCAGATATAAAGATAGAATATGGTCTCATAGCAGTGAAACCAGAACAGGAAGCAAAGTGAAGCAAGCACTTATGAAAGAGTTTAGTAGGTAGAGCGGTGCTAGGTCAAGGGAGGTTCTAGAGGTAGGGAGAGAAATGGCTGGGATGTGATGTCCAGGTATAGAGCAGACTTAGAATGCAGCCTAGAAAATTCCTGGAGCCTAGGTCATTATATTGGCGAAAAGGAGTTTTGTTGATTGAGTTCTTGGCTCTTGCATATGTAAAGAGAAATGATCCCAGGCTAGTTTTCACCATTCTTTGGGTAGAGCCCACCACTGCTTTTCAAACTTCTTGTGATACTGGTCCATACTGAATGAAGTAGACACCTCAGGAAGATTCTCGATTCCTGTTTCCCAGAGAAAGGAATTGACCAGAGATAGGTAGGTAGTAGCAGAAACAGAAAGAGTTTATTAGAAAAAGACATACTTCCAGGGGAGGAAAGTTTAGAAACTCAGTGACTGTTATGTAAAGAACTGAGGCTTTTATCTTAGATTTTTTGGGCTTTGGGAGTCATTAGCACAGGTTAAGCTTTCTTGTTCAAGCTGTGTTACATGTCCTTTTTGTTTAAATTGACTGATTCTTTGACAAATTCATACATTTATATAATACACTCTAGTCACATTATTTCCTCTAACCTGTCTTATCCTCCCCCACTCATCCTCTCCCCCTCCTATCACATCTCCATACCACTTTCAGGTATTTATTTTTGCTTTGTGATCCACTCGGTTTAACCAGGGATACTCATCTGGGAATGGATGTGAAGCTATGGCCTTTTCTGTTTGTTTGGATAAAAATCCAAAAGTAACTTAGGGAGGAAAGGTTCATTTCATCTTACACTTCTTAGGCTACAGTCCATCACTGAGGCAAACCAGGGAAGGAGCTCAAGGCAGTAACTGGACCAGGAGCCATGGAAGAGTGCTGCTTACTGGCTCACTCTACTGGCTTGCTCAGCCTGCTTTCATGTACACTTCAAACCCTAGGGGTGACACCCTCCACAGAGGGCTGGACTCTCCCACATCAATTGCCGGTTAAGAAAATGCCCCACTGTCTTTCCTATAGGCTAGTCTATGGAAGCATTTTCTTCTGTGATTTCCTCTTCTTAGTTAGCTGTGGATTGTGTCAAGTTGACAAAAACAAAAACCAACCAACCTAACAAACAAACAAACCAAAATTAAACCAGGACAAAAAAAAATCACCTACCAGGACAGCTCTCCACCGGAGCATGAGTAACTTACCAGTGGCTATATCACTGAAGACAATGATGTATTGTCTCCTCTTATTCCCCTGCCCCTCCCCCATAACCCTCAACTGTCATTGGTCCCCTAGTCAGAGTGAAGTCCTATAAACCCCTACGAGTCCCTTTGCACCTATGACTATATGTTTACTGGCCAGTATTGTGTAGAAACTATGCTGCTGTGAATTTGAGTGCCATAACCATGTCATGCCCATAAAACACTACTCTGTGACCCATTTTCCTATAGTTAAACTCTTATATTCTTTTGTCTTCTTTTAAGTGATGTGTACTGAACTTTGGAAGGGGAAATGCTGGTGTCTCATTTAATGCTGAGTACTCAGCACTCGCTATTCTTAGCACCTTGACCAAGTGTGAACTACATTAACAACTAGTCACTGCATAGAGAAGCTTCTTTAATCAAGGCTGAGGACAGCACTAATCTATGAATATAAAGATAAATATTTGAGAGGCAGTTTGACAATACGTCCATTTAACAAAATGTATTTGTAACTTTGGTGGTTTGATTAAGATGCCCCATTATCTTGGTCTCTGAATACTTGGTCCTCAGTTGGTGGTGCTGGTTGGGAGGTTTAGGAAGTATGACCTTGTTGAAGAAGGTATGTCATTGGAGGCAGCTTTGAGAGTTTGGAGACCCTTGCCATTTTGAGTTTATTCTTGAGGCTTCCTGCTTGGGCTTCAAGATGTGAGTTTTCAGCAGGTTGTTCCAGCTGCCTTGCCTTCCTCTTCTGCTCTGACATCATGAACTCTAACCCTCTGAAATCACATGCACAAATAAACTCTTCCATCTATAAAATGTCTTGGGCATGGTGCTCTAGTACAACAATAGAAAAGTAACAGGAATGAGTCAAGACTTTATCTGGGGAAGGAGGAGGACAGTACTTACAAAGAGAGGGAGGAAGATAACTGTATTGGTTACTTTTCTATTATAGTGATAAAGCACTCCATGACTAAGGTGACTTATAGAAGAAAGTGTGACCTGGACCAGCAGGTTGTTCTTCAGGGACAAGTTCCTAAGGGAGAGGGCTGGTGATGAGAAAATAAAGAAGATAAGAAAGTTGTGACCAGGAGATCTTGCATAAGTTGATGGCTTATACCAAGCAAGTTTATTAAGAAATA